AAATAGGGGGAGGTAGCGACCCTATAAGGCCCAGATATGTGTCAGCTGCTCTTCGCAGTCTACAATATACACAAGCTTACTCCATAAGACTCGCCAGTAAGATGAAAGCCTCTGCCTTTGAACTTGTTGAAATGTTCAAAGAAGATTGCCACAAAAGCAGCGACATCCTTCGCAGCCTCTTCGGTAGTGCTCTACATGCAGGTGTTCAAGTTAGCTCATTATAATGTACTACCTTGACTTACCACAGTCTCTCCATGGTCAGCATACGAGAAACCGACACCAATTGGCTGGTCGATGAAGAATATATTGGAGTACTCATTCCACGAATAGGGATTGAAAGAGATATTCGTGGGACTGGTAACCCTGCAGGGACCGAGCTCCATAAACAGACCGGTAGAGGACGACCCGCCAGGTCCACCGTTGGTCCAGAGGAGCACGTCATCACGATCGGGGTCGCGTCTGCTTTCGAAGAAGTAGAAAAACAAGTGCCTCGCTTCGATGTCGATGTATCCTGTGTACGCGCTGAACAAGCCAGACGCGTCAGTGCAGTATTGCCGCAGCACGAAAGTGCATACTTTGCGGTACCGTCGCAGAAGTCTGACCTCTTGATCCGCACGTTATAATGAGGAAAGGCGCTGTGGCCGAGACGGGTGTAGTCAGTCGAGGACAGGTATGACAAGTCTCCGAAAGGCTGAGAAGCTATGGCTTGGCCCCGGTGGTCGAAATTTGGGCCGCTCCCGTAAGCTGTCATGGGATATTGAGCTCCACCAACAGTTCCCACATGTCCTGAAGAATGTGCAAAGCTGAAAACGAGGGAGCCCCAGAAAACTGTACGGAACGCCATTGTAGATGCGCTCAACCACCTGTTGTTGTCAAGTGTTCTCCCTCGGTCCAATCTCCTTTATATACCGATACCGCGACTCGGGTATTCCCGTGTGTGAATCCCGGTCTAATTCAAACGATCAGCGTTCCCAGCAGCACCACCGCAGTTTACGACGATGTTTTCTCTCCGGGTCAGAAAGAGACCATACACTAGCCCACGAGGATACTGCTGCGCTCACACAGATACTTCGCCTTCATTCATTCTGACGACTGACAATGTGGTATCAGAACGATAATAGGGCCTGTTGGTATGCGGTCGATGCTGCAAAAGATATGGGGACTACGCCGTCGCAGGCTCGATTCACCTGGATCTGATATATTCACAGCGCACAAGAACAGGGCAGTCAGAACTGGAAGAAGTTGGACAATGGAGATGTTGCCGTCTCGAGCGCTCCGGTCTGATGCGTATTTTCGGCCATCACCGCGCCACAACGGTCATGTGCTGCCCCTGACTCGACTCCTCCAGCACGACAACCGTCCCGCGGCCTTCAACGTCTGCACAGTCCACGCATCTCGTGGTAACAGAACTGTGTCCATCTTTTTCTTGGTTGCTTCAGGATGTCTGCCTTCTCTATCTTTCGGAGTCTGCGACAAGACTAGTTGCACTCGCTTTTCACCCACACGACGACAAACCTTCGTCCAATCCGCCGCGCCACAAGACGTTCTCTTGGGTAACCGTGTTCACATACGCCAAAATGATGACAAGCCCGTGACGTATGACCTTCGGCTTCCTCGTGTGTCCGTATTTCATTTGCCATAAATTTGTTTATCATTCAATTTTGTCAGAAGGTCTCATCGAATGTAGCGCTCCGTTGACTGCACTCACTTTGCCTGGGGACCATGAGATTGAAGCACCTGATCCATGTCCCACATTGGGCTGCCGAGCGGCATCTGTAGTTCGTGGGGTCACACGATTCCTACACTGGGGAAGCGAAAACCGAATTGTGCAGGTCACGAGCAACTTCCCTCGCGGTCGTGTAAGCCGTCATCAAACTTTGGCCATCCACATGCAAAACCTTGGCCCTGTGTTATCTTAGGTGATGTCACTCGATGTACTTAAAGCATGTCGCGGACATTTCGTCGTCCGCGACAAATCACCGCAGACCGTCCATGGCGATGTTCGTCCTCTCCACGCTAACACTTCTGGCTATTCTTTCCGTCTTGCCCCTTCTCCTGAGATTTATCCGACGACATCGATATCGTCGTCCTCCCGGTCCAAATGGGCTGCCGATTATCGGCAACTTTTTCAATGCGCCGAGATCATTCGAGTGGCTGGTATTCCAAGACTGGAGCCGTCAATATGGTATCCACTTCGCAGTCGCATGCGTATACTATCAATGACGACGACATGACCTTCTTGTCTTTTAGATTCGGACATTGTATATTTTGAGATCCTCGGAACCCGCTACTTCGTCCTGAACTCCGCGAAGGCTGCAACTGACCTTTTAGAGAAACGATCCAACATATACTCCGACAAGTGGGGGTTTGTCTACTGCTGTATGTGTGATATTGACCCTTTGTGGGCATAGGCCTGGTGAAGCGCCTATGGTACACTTGTGAGTATGATACCTCCGTCCTGTACCGTTGCATACTGAAGTGCCTCCCAGAAGCGGACATAACAGGAACATGGGCCTGATGGGATATGGCAACTCCTGGAGGGCGCACCGCAGACTTTTTCACCAATATTTCCGGTCAACCATCGTGTTCACGTACCATCCTTCGTCAACAAAGGCGGTGCGTGAGATGATACGTAGGCTACGCGATACGCCAGATCACTTCATGCGACATATCCGGTTGTAAGTACGTCTACTCATTCTCAAGTGCATGCTCTTACTCTGTAGCATCGACCAGCATGGCAGGAAGCAACATTCTCAGGATCGTGTATGGCATGGAAGTCGAGTCTGAAGACGACCCCAATCTCGCCCTTGTAGAAGAGGGCATCAAGATTGTATCCAGAATTGCTAATGCAGGAGCATATCTCGGTAACTTCCTACAATCTTTATATTGTGTTTTACAAGACTGACGAGATTGTAGTCGACTCCTTTCCGATCAGTAAGTGAATTATCTTCTCAATAATTAGTCTAAAACTTTGCTGTAGTGCAGCATATTCCTGCATGGTTTCCAGGTGCCCAGTTCAAACGTGACGGTGCACGGTGGAAACCAATTGTCGAGGAAATGTTCACGCGACCCTATAAGGAGCTGAAAGCTTCTTTCGTAAGCACAACAAGATGTTCCAATTGCTTGCCGTCCTGAATATCCGTATCTCGCTTCAGGACAATGGTGACCCCAAGCCATGTGTGTTGACCAGTATGTTATACAATATCTCTCAAGACGAAGAGGACCCCAACCGCTCGATGCTCGAAGATGTCGTTATAAACACGAGCGGAACTACATATATTGGTAAGGAGAGGTTGACACAAGCTTTTGCACTCATATCCACCACTCTCTCGCCGCGCAGCGGCCTCCGACACCGTGAGTAATCAGCCGCGCCATGGCCGGAAGCGGATGAGCTGAATTTTGACAGACGACTTCGACTTTACACACATTCGTCCTGGCCATGTCGATGCATCCTGAATTACAGAAAAGGGCTCAGGAAGAACTGGGTGACATTGTAGGTCAAGATCGACTGCCGGAGATGGGGGATCGAGACGCTCTCCCGTTCATCACTGCAATCGTGAAAGAATGTTTGCGGTGCGTCCCTAGCGACAGTCTTGAAAAAAAAAGAATATTTAGTATGGTATCTATGTCAGCTGGAGACCGGCGCTCCCATTGGGTACGTTCTTGGTACCGAACATGACCTGCCTAATTATTGAGGTTCTCCGTGACTTGAGCGCAGCGTCTCCCCATAGATCTGTAACAGACGACGAGTATGAAGGGTTTTATATTCCCGCTGGGTCACTCGTCATCGGTAATGCATGGTGAGTAGCGGCGCGACATTGTCATGGATTGAATATTGACGTCTATTATCAGGGCTATCTTGCACGATAAGGAACGTTATCCAGACCCAGACACTTTCAATCCCTCCCGGTTTATCAACCGCGAAGGTAGGTTGCGCAAAGACGTTCCCGACCCTACGGAGGCGTTCGGTTGGGGACGAAGGATATGCCCCGGTCGGTACTTCTTCTTGGACCTTGCATGGTTGGCAGCAGCGAACATTCTTGCGGTCTTCTCCATCGAGAAACCTATTGATGAGCTGGGGAATGTCGTCGAGCCTTCTGGGGAGTACACGACGGGTTTATTCAGGTGTGCTTCATGTTCCCACTTAAACATACGCCGTGCTAAGAAGTTCGCAGTTTCCCCGTTCCTTTCAAGGCTACTTTCAAAGTGCGAAGCAATGTTGGCGTTCTCGTATAACGCGGTACGTAAGGTAGCATCTCACGCTGTCACGATGATATCCACGACCTGAATGCCCCCTCTTCCCCCCAAATAAAAGATTTAAAAACTAACAATTGTGCAATCGGCCTTCACCGCGCCACAACGTCCGAGTCCAGGCCGCCGAGGATCTCCGAGCTCCGGGTAGCTTGAACACGACCGCCATCTCGCGTATACGTTCTATTCAGTATCGCCACGCTCCTCATGCACGGTCTTCTGCTTGATCGCTTCTACGCGCTCTTATTCCGTCTCTTTTCCGTAGACTCTGATAAAGCTATCCGCGCTCGCTTCTAACAGTAAGGCCCTGCGACGGCGAGCTTTCATGCAATTCACAGATTACATAGCGATCTTAAGCTTTGTTAGACTAATGTTATTACGTACCGACGTACCAGATGTATCTTTATCGTGGGGAACATCTTCCCAGAGTATAGAAGAGCCTGAGTGCAGGCGGTGACCAAATTGCGTGGAATGTGGGCACCTTCTACCGTGCCTGAACTGCGTAAGCCTCTGTCGAATCTTAACCACTCTCACATGCTCACATGTGCTAAGCGTTGTCCGCTTTCCCTCAGATAACACCGCTCAAGGTACTTAAGGTATACCGCGTGTGCTTCGTCGCCCGCAACAGTCACTGCGCAGAACCATGTCCGTTCACCTCGTGCCGACCCTCCTGCCAGCTTTAGCCGCCCTGCTCCTCTTATCGTACATAGTCCTGCGACTTCGGTATCGCTTCCCCCCTGGTCCAAAAGGGCTGCCAATCATCGGCAACGTCTTCGATGTGCGGAAACCATTCCAATGGTTGATATACCAGGAATGGAGTCGCGAACACAGTATCCGAATCGTGTTACGCTCTATGACGTCCTTCATGACCTGGATTTCTGACAGATTCCAATATCGTACATTTTGAGATCCTCGGGACTCACTTCGTGGTCCTGAACTCTGCGAAGGCTGCAGCTGACCTTTTCGAGAGACGGTCTAAGATATATTCTGACAAGTGAATGCCTGTCCTCTATCATAACATGTGCATAGTACTGACCTCTCACGAATGCAGACCTGAAGCACCGATGCTTCATATGTGAGTACCACGTCTCCGTTTTATGCCGCCATGCCGATGAGACGGTCTCACAGGAGCGGATGGGCCAGGAACTGGGGTATGATGAAATACGGCGACTACTGGAGGGCGCATCGCAGACTCTTCCATCAATATTTCCGATCAACTATCGTCTCTACTTACCATCCTGCATTGACGAAATCAGTGCGTGAAGCGATATGTGCGCTACGTGATACGCCAGACCAATTCATGCAACACGTCCGAGTGTGAGTTTACTGTTTGCTTTTGGGTAGGCTTTTGACTTCTTTGGTACTAACTAGCTTGGCGGGATCCAATATTCTGAGAATCATTTACGGCGTAGAAGTTGAATCCGAAAACGATCCCAATATTGCCCTGGTAGAAGAGGGTGTTAGAATCTTGTCAGTATTATCCAACGCTGGCGCATATCTTGGTAACGTCATATGATTATCCAAAGACGTTCTGCATGATTGACGTCACCGCAGTGGACGCCTTTCCAATTTGTGAGCACATAAGCAGCAAGCTTGTAAGGAGCTGGCCTAACATTCTCGCTGTAGTGCAATATGTTCCCGCATGGTTTCCGGGAGCTCAATTCAAACGCGACGCTGCGAAGTGGAGGCTTGTCGTAGATGAAATGTACATTCGGCCTTACATGGAACTGAAGGCTTCTTTCGTAAGTGCAGCGAACATTGTGATACCTTGTATTGTGAATGTGCATGCCTTATTTCAGGACAATGGCATCGCCAAGCCGTGCGTGTTAAATGACATTCTGTCCGACATATCCCGGGGTAAAGAGGGCCGCGACTTCTCTGTGCTTGAAGATGTTGTCATCAACA